TCTTTGGTATTTTCTCCAGTAATAAACTGTCACTACAATGAAGCTAACTATAAGCAAGTTTGTGCATTTTCCTCCCACAACAAACTCTCACGCATAACTCTAATCAAGGCGACTGACAAAATTGGGATCACTATAGGTTGTTGTTGACCAGCTGTTCAGATGTACTAAGCTCTGTGGTATCTGTTTGAAGAATGCTTTGTCGAAGTTCAATTCTAAATGATGAAAAAGCATGGAAAGATATAAACTGGGGGTGTGAAATTTTTTTTTTCAGGGTTAAGAACATTTGAACAGCTTCTCAACAATGAAACACACACACACATATATATATATCTATATATATACACACTCGTGGTGCGTATTCTCTCTTCCACAATCAAATAATCAAATAGAAACAAATGGTGTGCTTGTACTCACATACAGACCCACACTCATGTTTATTGTTAACAACTCAGATGTTTGAGCAAGACACATTTTCAATATTCTGACTACAATCCGGTAACATACTCATAGTAAATGTATTTTAAGGTCATAGAAATACATGTACACGTACAGGCCTACATGTTACAAGATGACAGCAACACAGTGATAGTTGTGTGGCACTATCTGACCCCCCCCCCCCTTTTTGGGCCATCCACCCTGCTGACATTCCCAGCGTTCAGAAAGCTAAATTTGTTATAATAGAATGCATTTGTATAACGCGAATTCCCGCGCAGCAGCACATTCTAAGCGATGTACAATCTACGCTATTACCCCAGCAGACTTGAGAGCATTCTGAAATAATCTCAACTTCCTGGGAAGCATACAGTTCAAGCTGCCATTTATAGGCGCTTACACATTAATGTACTAACAAGACCTTTCGCTGTCTGTGACCGGATACTCATTACCTCAGGGTTGAAGTGAGGAACATTCTTGAAAAATGCCTTTCCCAAGGGCACAACGTCGGGCCTGCGGCTAGAACCCCCGAGCCCACAACCTCACGATTCCGAGTCCGGTAGTGTGACCACTGGACTACCGTCGCCATTTATTGTCAGATTGTTGAAATTGTTTTTGTCCGAACATCTGACTGTAACAAATCTCTATTTCAATTGTCTTTGCTGTCGGGAGAGTTCAAGTCAGCTTCTGAGTCTGAATAGAAAATTACGAATTTCTTTCGACATGAAGTTTGCAAATTTCTGAGCAGAACCTGAATACAAATGTTCACCCCCGTTTGGGGTGATTCTTTAAACAGAGTTCCGAAAAGGAAAGAGGAAAGATTGAGTTCAATTCAGAGGTTTTTTGTGCTTTTATTTGTTGTTGTTGTTTTTTTCAACTGGAGTGATACTTCTTATGTATCATGAATCCAGGGGCGGCTCAAGGGGTTAAAAAGTGGATGTGCACAATTAAGCTAGCGCAAGCTAAAGATAGTCAAGGGCATAGACAATGAGACGGTGTATACTTTTAAGATTTAGGTTGGTGAGGGAGGACCACGTGCTTTTATTTTCATTCTTTTTACCTGTCGCTTTAATTTCTAGTGCTAAATTTGTTTGTTAGCTAAACATCAATTTCGTTCATCCTGTACTGGAACAGAACACTCAAGTAATAACTGTCACTACTCCACTAGATCTACAAATCCATTCAAAGGCACAACTCTTAGGACGGTCACGTTCACCTCCCTCTGGTTCACGGTCAGAGTCACATAAAATAGTGGCAGTACAGACAATGAACCAATCACAATTCACTTGAGCACTCCGCTGGATTGCTCCCGGGCTGACATAATGTTGGCAAAGAATAACGTACGGTCTATCGCGTTTATTTTTAGACAGCCTACTTTGGGCTATGTTTCAGCACTATTCGGCAGGAGCACAT